AATACCACTCATCAAAATCCTTTTACACAGCAAATAACAAATCTACGAATGCTTCAGATAAACCTTCACTGCACAAAAATAATTCTGCCACGAGTTAAAAACAGCCCAGGGAGAACATATAAACCTGATTTTCGCACAAGAGCCCTGCGTGCCGTCAGCGAGAAAGTTTGAATTATCAACGGGTCTATTTTCTCTTCTCTCCACAACAGCTAAATCAGCAATAATCTATAATAATCCTCTAACCCCTGATGGGTTAGAGGACGATTCATGTTAATCATACACAGCACAAGCTGCAGGGAAATAGAGAAAAACTCAAACAATTCACTTATATTGTTTAAAGAATAGGCGGCCAAAATTCAACAGAAAATATCGATGCAAAAATGCAAAGCACTTTACACTTTTTTAACCGGGAGCTTCGCTCAGACTATTTTACTTTTGTTCAACAACTTAAATATTTTATTATGAATCAAATTAAAACAAAATCTACAAAATATTTTTATACACTTTTTTCATCTCCATCAACAATAAGAACACAGTATTAAGCTCTAGTGAATTATTAGGTTGTGAATCCACTTGCATTCCATGTTAAAGATAAAAATTATATTCAACAGTTAGACTTATCTCAACAGCAAAACATGTTTATGCAATGCGAATTTTTCGGGGGACGGGGGGGGGGTGCTTGCAGAATGTTCCTCTTGTTAGTAACAGCTATAACATATTTTTGGAGACTGTAACTAATTATAAGCACACGGTACTTATAAGCAGATCACTTTAAAAGGCCAGATGTTACATTAAACTATTGCTTGAGCCTCGTTTTAAAAGAAATAACATTTAAGTGGGAACAGGTTTTTCACTTGTGAAGTAAGAGGATAAGTAACAGGATAACTAAAACAAATTATTGTAAGTTACTATGGCCATAATTTTTTTTAGATTCCTATAATTTTGCACGCATCAAATAATATCAATAAACAGAGACAGGTTACATTGTTTGAGAATGTTTCTTATGCACAATAAATGTAGTAGAGATTTGCAAAGCATAACTAAAATTTAAAATGCTGCCCAGACAAGATAATGGTTAGTGATCCTGACTGCCACATCAAAAGGCCCAAGTTTTAATCCTGGTGAATGCTTGGATGTTTGTAAATGTAAGATGTATATGCAGCATGAGAGCACTCAAAATATATGGTATGACAAAAGTCTTCTCAAATGGTTTGCTGGTAGGGAGAGAGGGGTGGGAGACCTTTGGACCTATCCCCTTGGCAGGGTTGCCACTCAAACAGGAGAATGAAATTCCCTGACTTTTCCAGGTTTTCCAGGTGTGTTTCAAGAAAATTCCAGTCTATTCGCGTAATGTACTTTGGCTACGCTAAGAGGTAAATTAATTATGGTATTACTTGTATTGTGTAGCAAATTCACTTAATTATTCAATAAATCCCAAAGGACATTTATTCTTAATTATTTTTAGTATACTTTGTTTGATAATTTTGTTTACTTTTCCACTTAAGAAACTTAATAAAATTTAAGATATATAAATTGGATAACAAATGTATGTTTTATTTAATTATTACTCATGATCATCACCAGTTCAACACGAGGCTAATCCGGTCCTTATAAATCACGATGCAATGCTAAATAGTTAGGTTAGATTTTAGGTAAATTTAATTTGTGTGAGGTATGTTCTTAAAAAACACCTTAACACTTGAAAACACAAATATAATTATAATAGTTGTTGTTTTCTCCATTGAAGATTGAGATTAGAATCTTCCCAATCTGGAATAAAATAAGGCTTTTTTTGCAGACATTCTGCAGCTAAACGAAAGAAAGAAATCTATTTTAATAAATTGAGGTATTTTATATTTATTTCGCAGCATACATAAGGAAAAAATATGTGCATTAAATTTCGTGATGGTATGTCATCATACTGCTAGAATTAATTTCAAGATTATGCCAGAGAAAATTTCCTGAAATTTGGAAATATTATTTACTAATAATAAATAAATTTAGAGGGAAGAAGCATCATTAAATTATACGAATAACATAAAAATAAAGATAATTACTTAAAAATTGAATTAGAATAATCAACGATATTGTAGCGAATATAGTTATATTACATGGTTAGCCTAGATGACAGATTACTATTTTTTTATTTTACTGCAAAATGGCAAGGTATTTATTAAAAAGAAAAAAAAAAAAGTTTAAAAAGATTTTGCGGTAAAATTCTAGTATACGATAAGGCTTTGGCACGATTTTGAAAATTGTCGCCAAGACCAAAATGACCCGTTTACTGCGCATCATCATGTCGCCAAATCCCATTGTACCATACCTGGAGATTATTCTAACCAAAGAACGTCTATGCAAAGAATCTCTGATTCTTTGGTCTATGTAAAGAAGAAAAGGTTCCATACAAGTAAAATGCTATTACGCCGCTAAAATGCGGAGGGAAAATATGCCAAGGAATTTGGCGACGGAACCTGGCGGCCAGAATTTCCCTCTCCGCGATATGTACCGGAAATTGAGAAACGTGTTAAGAAGAAACGTTCTTTGACAAAAAGAAAGCTACGAAAATCCGTTTTTAAATTATTGCGAAAAGGAAATTTATAAAAGGAAAGAAAGGTTTTATCAAAGGACGTTTCTTCTTAGATTTGTCGCAATAATTTTAAAAACGGATGTTCGTAGTTCCCCCCCCCTGAAAATTACTAACCCATGAATTAATTTACTTGCGCCAAAAAATATTTTCTTTTCCTTTAGAGTTTAACCACTTGCGCTAAGACTAAACTTCACGGTTGCGGTGCCGTGCGCTACAATATAGCAAGCGGTAAAGTGTCTCATTTACGCCGCTCCGCATCTGCGAGTGCAATCCAGAGCTGTAACTCGAAAAATAAACAATCTCGTTGTTAGGCGACGTGTGCACCATGTTATTTAAATTTTTGCAATAAATGCTTATCGACGTGGTGTTCACGTCGCTCGCAGTTTGAGACAAAAACATCTCGACGTGCGTGGCACGTCTTTTTAGCGCAAGTGGTTAAAGAAATTTTAAAGGATATTCATTTAATGAACTCTTGATAACGTGACCTTCGAACTTCCACACCGGTTTCGAGCTTTGGCAGCAGATATATCACGCATGCACAGCTGTTTCCCTCTATGATGGAACGGAGCCACGTCTGTTGCAGAGAGGTTTTCCTTCTTTACAATACATATTCTTTGATTCTAACCTCCATGGTACCGTATACTAAGATTAAACCCATTTTGTTCTCGTATAATTTTGTTTTATACGAGAACAGGTACTTTCTTTAGTTCATGCACTGCACATGTTATTCTCGAGAATACTGGAAACCAAAAGTTGCGGGAAACTTGCTTTGCCTTTCTAAAAGACAATCGAATTGGAGCTGCGAAAATTGGCTCTATGCCAGCTGCCCGAATGACACTCACGTGATACGCAATTCGCCAAAAAAGTTATCTCTTCCGAGGTCGGCGCAAAAATCGCTTTTTTTGGCGGGATCATTGTATGAACTTCCCTGACTTTTCCCTGAATTTTTTGGTCAATTTTCGAATTCCCTAACTTTTCCCGGTTCTCCCGATTTTCCAGGTAGCGTGGCAAACCTGCCTTGGGTACTCCTTCAAAACTGGAGCAGCACTCAACTTATTCTTTCACCTATATGGTGCTCAAGGTGCATGTCATTGACAGACAATATCTTCTACACCTTGCCACACTAAAATTCATGGCCTTGTTTTAATTTAAGTAAAACTAATGAGATGAGAAAAAATAACAACATTTACAATTTTGAGCTAAGGAACTTTACATCAATGAAAATTAAAAGGCTTTTCACATCATATTTTCTCAAGATGTTTTTGCATTCTTTGTACAGTTTTTGATCAAAGTAGCCATAAGTTTGAGAAAAGATTATATTAAAAAGAAGATTAACTTCATGACTATTATAACTATATCACAAACATAATTCATATAACAATGGTTTAAAATATTCCCTTCCATATATAAAAAATACCCAATCTCTTTCAAGATTAAAACATGAAATGACAGCTGCTTCGTGAACTTATTGAAATAATCCAACCTGCAAAACGAAGGAAAAGTGATAGCTAATATACACTATCTTTTTTTTTTAACTTTATTCATTACTCAAAAAGTAAGATTACTTTCCTGAATAAACATGTTTATTCTATCTGCTTGATACATTCATAATAATCTGCAAAATGTGTTTTCTCAAATAAAGAGAACTTTCTTAAAATCAAGTGATTGAAGCAAGATCTAAATTACATATATGACTCTCATTTGATTTCTAACATGAAAAAGAAAACTTAACCCTAACCTAACTGACTTGTTAAAACTATTCAGAGTTAAAATTTCAAAACATGAAATAAAGATTTCGTTGCCTTTACCAGAAACTTCATTAATTAAATTTTTTCTTATTCTCCTATTTCAAATTACAAATATCATTTGTTTGAAGAAATTGTCATTTCAGATTCACTTTTCTTACACACTGCATTCATCCTCTAATTCTGCAATGGATACTGATATAGTTACAGGATGATAAATTACCAATTATAAAAACAGACATATATTATGTAAAAGTTATCATATTTATCAAACTGAAGATAACTAGTGATCAACACTACCATGGTAAATGCAGCTGTTAAAATAATTCAAAAATAACTCCAAGTTATGAAGACTATTCATAAACAGCAAGCACTTCATGAGTTTACATTGCTTAAGTTTGAATTCTTAACTGTGACACTGTTGGGCGAAGAACTAGAGATATCAGTTAATGATCTTCTATAAGACTTCTCTTAAGATTTTTGTAACTTCTGATACTGGAAATTTTTTTATTTGACTTAAATATTTTCAAGGTTTTAGTTCTAATACATTTTACAGTGTTATTTAATTTCTATGCCTCACTAATACATGTCAATATTAGTAATTACTTTACGGTTCTTAAGAGAAACTCAAAGAACTGAATCACTTCAGTAAATGTATAAGAAGCACATAACTTCCAATAATTTATTTTATTTCAAAAATCCAGCTTCACCTTAGAAGGAAACAATACAATTGACGAAATGACTTGAAAGCTCTTAATTAAGATGATTACAAAGTGACACACAAAGTATTTTTCAGTTTTATAAAACTTCAATAAAAAATGGTCCTACATAATTTATTTTGATTTTATGATAAATAATGTATACATACAATTATTCATTATGGAAATACATTATACAGATTTCATACAGCTGATGACTGGGAGAAAGGCAATACCACTGGTGGAAGAAGTAGTGATCTCAAATCAGCATTCATTTGTAAAACTTCTTGGTCATCTTTTTCTAACATTTTAACAGTTAGCATAAACTGCAGTAGACCTATAACAGAAAAAGAGATTACATCACAAGATTCATGGATAACTAACAAAAAAAGTTGCAAACTTACTTTCTTTTATTCATTAAAAGGAAATAAGTGTGATAAGGACAGAAGAAAAATTAGATGGAGAAAATTTTGATGGTCAAAAAATACAACTATGTATGCTTTGAAAAGAAAGTAATAGTTTAATAATGCACTGTTGAACATGTTTATTAAGTACTTGTAAAGCAAAATTTGTTAGTCAAAAAACAAAGTTTCTGTTAGTTAAATTTCTCCTAATTTTCCTTGAGAGATGTCTGCATATTCCTTAAACTCATTTGTGTACACATACGGAAGCATGTACCACAGTCTAAGAACTGCAAAATCAGATGACACCACAAACATACAGAAATGGCAATATGTAATTAACTATAGGTCAGATAAATTTTTAAAAAATGTTTATTTTACTTAAACTCTTTAAAAACAGCCTCAAAAGCACATTGTGTAAATGAGTTAAAAAATATATTTTTATGCTTGTTTAAAAATATTTATTGAATTATACTATGCAATATTCTGACTGTATTTTACAGGTAGCTACATCTGTCTTTTTTTACTTAAAATTGGCTTTAATGTAATGTAAATTTCCATTTTTATTTTAGTCAATATTACACATCATCAATAAAATAACTTACATGTAATATAGGGAATTAATTAAGAACTTTTTAACCCAAAGTATACATGTAGACTAGTAGGTTTGTCTTAATTCAAGCTAATGCAGTTAAGAATTAATGCTGATAAATCACAAAATTTGCATATAGAAAACACAAAACAACACTGTATAGTATAGAAAACACAAGAAACAATGGTACACACATGCAAATGAAATACGCAACAAATCTTCTCATGAATGCATTTTTAACAAATAAATCTACACAAACTAATATATTATGGCCATTTGCTCAGTATATGTTCTACTTTTTAATAACAGAAATACCACCTAACGGAAGCACTAAAAGATGTGTTCAGAAATTTTAATCAAATGAAGAGTGAGCGATATCTGTAAAATCTCTCAGGAAGGAAAAAAAAAAAACTTTTCACTGATTAGTAAACTACAAAAATATCATTTGGTTCAGTAGAAATTCAAAATAACAAGAGGAGCAGTCAAAGAAAGTTGTTAAATTACTTGATATGGGCTGTGAAATAATTCATACAATACAGACCTTATGATAACACTTTCTTAATGGACTGGAAACTGTGCATCTCCTGGTAAACATTAAAAGCAGCGATATTCAATATGGATGCAAGAATAAGCTTTTTTGGAATAATCCTTATGTCAGACAATGATGAATATCTTTCTTAATCGATCGAGTACTCATTCAGCTATGAAACATAAAATACTGTCTGTCCTATTAAGTACAAATAAAGGAGGAGTTATAACTGAACAAAATAATGGCTCTTTTCTAAAGAATTAACATCACATTTTCCTGAATGGTACAGTGGTTAATGGAGGCTGAGTGCTAGCCCAAAACCAAAGTGTGGGTTTTACTTCCATAGAAGACATGTCTGTCCCTCCATTCACAAGTGTAATATCAGTTGCTCTCTCTGGTTCACTAGTGTTCTGAATGATTCGATGGCTAAATGTTCGGTTCAATCATTCCTGATGAAATACCCAGCCAATGGTTTGAAAAATAAAAATTATCATGCTAGACTAAATGTACTGTAGGCAAATCTATTAAAAAAGAATCACTTATAAGTGAATGTATATGGTCTTTCATTTCAAAAACATATATCCTCCTTTCCTTGACCATTGCTGGATCCTATTAAGAGCAATCTGTAGTTGCCTCTCCACATATCTTATGTCTGCGCCTTCACAGCATATTTGGAGGTCACTAACATATAAAGAACCTGAAACCATTGGAGGAAGTTCTGAAAGAATACATCTGATACTAAACAGCCAATCTTCACTTAAAAAGTCCCACCCATTTAGACATTATTCAAAAATATTGGCAAGCTCTGGCGTAATCTATTGGCATGAAGATCAAGCACAACCTTATGTTGTGTCGCCTTTTTGTACTCCTTTCATTGAAAAATATAGAAACTAGATGGTTTCTTTTGACAAAGGCTTTACAGATGGAGGTTTCCAAAGGAGCATATTATTAATAGTTGTTCTACCTTTATGGAAACCACTTTTGATATGGGGAAATTATGTTGTTCTTTTCTAAACATCGGACTAAGTGGCAGGTTGCCATTTCTTCAAAAAGCTTCCAAACACAACTCGTAAGGGCTATTTGCCTATAGTTGGTGGGAGGTATAGGAATGACAACATCTTTTTACCATGCACTGGAAAAGTTATGCTCCTTCCACACTTCATTATACAAAGCTAGAAAGGCATTCAATGACCGACAGGAGAGATGCTTCAGCATTTCAAATCTGAGGCCATCTAGACCCAGGGAAGACCTTTGTACAGGGCCGTTCCTAGGCCACTGGCGGCCATGTACTTTCCTAAGATTTCCACCCCCCAAATTTTAAAAAAATGTTCAATGATTACTAACATTTTTATTTCATACTTAGTACAGTACAAAGTCCATAATCTGGACGTCCATTATCCGGAACGATCTATAATCCAGACCTCAAAGCCAGAAACTTTTTTTGTATGCTTTACACATGCGCGTTTAATGTATAATGAACGGTATAAGCTAGGCTAAAGTTATCTCTACTGATACTAAGGCATTTCAGTTAATGTTGCAGATTGCGCGCTGTTCCTTAATCTTTTAATTGGATCCAGCTTATTATTTTTTGCAGACTGTTACAGCACTTTTATAAAAACTAAACTTGAATTTTCGATTATGTCAAAAACAGTTTCCAATTCTGGAGCTACCAAAGGGTCTACAAAGCGAAAAGCATGTTTCGATGTCCATGAAACAAAAAGTGGAATCACTGCAAAAAATGGTTAAAGGCATGAAGAAAGTGACAGAGTAGTTAGTAAAAACAAAAAAATTTCAATTGACAAGTTAGTCGATATTCTAGGCACAGCAATTACAGGACTTGAACAGTGGAACTTTGTAACTGAACAAGAAGTTATGTCTGCTTATAGAATTAAAGAGAAACTATTTGCACAAAAAACAAAGCAACTTAAACAACTTACATTGAAAGAAATGTTTAATAAAGTAAACAAATAAATAGTAAGCTTTTCTTTTTTTTTTTTTTTTTTTTTTTTTTTGTAAAATTTGATACCCTTTAGATCATAATTGCTCTTTATTTCATAAACTATGGTTTCATATTTTTAATTCTATAATTTCTGCATGCCATTTTACCAGATTTAAATTGATGATCTATAATCCGGAATCGTCGAAGTTCCGACGAATCCGGATTACGGACTTTGTACTGTACTTGCATATGACAAATTGTATAAAAATTACTTACATATAACAAACTGTATAAAAATTACTTACATATGACAAGTACTTACAATGAAGTTAATGAATTTAAAATATTTAGGGGTGGTATCACAAGAGTCCGTCCATCCCTGATTTGTTCGCCCACGTACTTTTATGTGTTGCAACCCCACTGGGAACGGCCCGGTCTATGTGTCTGTAGTAAAACTCTTTCAAGCAGAGAAAATTCACAATTATAAAGCTTCAAGTTGTCAGAGTTGAACGTAATGGGAATATTTTCAACATGTAGCTTAGCAGAAAGAAATGGTGAATAACTGTGACGAAATATTTCACAAAAAGTATTTGCAATTTCTTCTGCAGTGCTTATCGCCCAGCCATCTTTCTCCAAGATGAAAAGCGAGTGGTCTTGGGTATATTCCATATGCGTTTCTGTTTCCCATACTCATTTAATGAGTGTATAGAGTATTATTCCAGACACATAGAATACCCAGAAATCCCTCTTACTCTGCCATCATGCTATGTTTCTTGCATTTGCTTTGGCTTTCTTGAAAGTGAAAAGGTTTGACATGGTGGGATATCTACAAAAACATATCCATGCTTTTTTCTGCTGTCTCAAAGTTTCTTGGCGTTCATAGTTACACCATTGTTTTGAACATTTCAGAAACTTTGGTGATGTCAAAGCTACAAATACAGGGAAATGATCACTGTTGTGAGGTAGTATCTTTAACTAGTATCTTTAATTATTGTATCTTTAACACTAAATGTACAAAAATTAACAGCATGAAATGGCCTTGTAGGCTCATGGAAATAGGTACCCTGACCATTATTAAAGGCAATGATCTTCAATCATGAGGATTTGTATCTCTACTAACTAATTGTATCAGCTAACTATGTATGTTAGCTGATCTATGAACTCATCCAACTCTCTTTGGTCGATAGCTTCATTCAGAGGCAGATATACATAAACAATTGAGATTCATCCTTTTATATTAGACACTACAGTAACTGTTTGAGGGGATGTTGCTAACGAAAGGACAGCTGGATAGTCATGCGAGATGAGAAGGCAATACATGCCCACAGACATATTCACTAACAATATTGTCGTTTTTGTGCAAATCGCTTTGAGAAACGTTTCCTGTAAAGTGAAGCAAACTGGTTGATACACAGAGATCACATTTTTCATGTTCAAGACACCAGTGGAAACCAAGACCAGGTCCATGAAATAAGGGTATAAGGAATTTTTAATTTGCCAATGTTGTTTCTTGGTCAGGCAGAGAAGGAGACAATGTTCAAGTCCCACTTCCACATCATACAAGTCAGAGCTCATACTTTCAATTCAGCTGTGACTCCGACACCTAGGTTTAACAGTAGGACTTTAAGAGTCTTTCTCTGCATTAGATTGATTTGGTTTGGTGGCATTATTTTCTGTTTCTTTAATCTTCATGTTAATTATTTGTTACTCTGTTCTGAGTTTTGTTCATTTTTGCTAAGTTTTTCTTAATTGTATTGAATTCTATTGTTATTACTCATGGTATTGGTACTACATGCAGGGTTGCCACTCAAACAGGAGAATGAAATTCCCTGACTTTTCCAGGTTTCCCAGGTATGTTTCGAGAAAATTCCAGTAA